CCCGTGTCCCCTGCATCGGCAGGCGGACTCTCATCCACTGCGCCACCAGGGAAGCCCTAAATGATAACTTTAAAAAATATATTTATTTGGCTGTGTTGGGTCTTAGTTGCAGCACGCGGGCTTCTCTCTAGTTGCGGAGCGCAGGCTCCAGAGCTCACGGGCTTAGTTGCCCCACAGCCTGTGGGATCTTAGTTCCCCGAGCAGGGATCGAACCCGTGTCCCCTGCACTGGAAGGCAGATTCTTAACCACTGGACCACCAGGGAAGTCCCCTATAAATGATAACTTAATAGGGGAAGGAAAGAGCTAATGGGAGGAGGAGTGAAGAATCCTTATTGTTAAAAAACAACACCAATAAGGAAAAGAATCCACCAGCACCTGTCTGGCTGTCTCTTTGCCTTATAAAGGGTCTTCACATTGGTCTGTCCCCTGGAGTGCATCCTGTTTCCCCATCAGCTCTGCCTCTTCAGACTCTTTCCTCTTTGAGACCTCACCTTTTGCCCCTTCCTGAAGCCTTTCCTAGTTTCTTCCTTCAAACCTCACGCTTGAAACAATGTCTCCCACTTTTGAACCATGCTTTCTTGTGGTACCAGAAGTCCTTGTATCATAATCTAATCTCCCCCCAGAAATTTTAAACAAAAATACATCTGTACCCCTTGCAGTATCTCTGGGGCCCCAGCATGCTGAGCTGCTCACTGGTTGAGAACTCCTGCCTCTTGAGATGACTTGCCAGTTAGGGGTTCTTGTCCATAACGGGTGGACTTTCTGAGCCAACAGATGGCAACTTAGAGGAGGGGGCACAACGGTAGCAGCTCTGCCTCCTTACAAGTGCTGCAGGTCAGTGTGTCCATGCACATCCTACATTTTATAGCTGATGATGGTAACTAGTAGATGCTACCTGAGAAACTGAATTTGGCAAAGAGAAAAAGCAGTACACATAATCTCCAAAAGAATATAGATAACATGATGGAAGTAAAACTGAACAGTGTGTTCTTTCCACAAGACCTGACAAAAATCTGTCTTCTGTGCTGCTGGCCACAGTTTGAGAATCAATCAGCACAGTGCATTTAGGGGGTTGGCGTCCAGTCCTCAGACTCTTCAGCCTTGTCTGGCAGGACCAGTGGTTAGAGGTCAGTGAGCCTCTTTTCTTTTTCCCTCAGTTGCTTCCTTTTCCCAGGGGTCCTGGATGGACATGGTCCCGGCCTTGCTTCTCTGAAGCCCGCTCTTGTCTCCAGGTGGATGATTTATGTCAGACACCAGCACATCCCGCCCTGGAGTTCATCCAGCAAATGCTCACCGAGCAGCTGCTCCCAGGCCCTGGAGAGGATTGAAGGTGCACACGGTAGACTTTTATTTTTGATGCTTTCTGCTGACCTGCTATCTGTCTGTCTGTCTTTTCCCCAGGGCAGCGATGGTGCCCGGAGATCCGTGCTGCTGGACAGTGACGAGCCCTTGGTGTATTTCTATGATGACGTCAGAACGTTATATGAAGGTTTCCAGAGGGGCGTACAGCTGTCAAGTAAGCATTTGACTGAATCCATGTGACTAATGCTTCATGCTTTTCCTTCAGAAAGAGGGGTCTTTCGTCAGAAAGCCATATTTGCTCCCAACTTCCTCCCACTCAGTCTGGCTCCCAGCTCCCTGTCTCCTCCCATAACTTCCACAGAGTGAGTCTCACTGCACACAGGTCCCGCTGGGTGTGCCCCGCGGCCAAGGGGCTTCCATGGTCACATATGTGTTTCATGGAGAGTCACACGTCTTTTAGCTCAGAATAGGCTCTGACGTTTCTTGCAGTAAAGAGACCTGTTTAATTGCACCTGATCCAACATTTCTCAAACTTGCTTGACCAGGAGACCCATATTTTGAGAAATAAACACTGACATCCAAGGAAGCGGGGTTCCATCAGAGACACTTGGAGGGTGTCGGCTCATGGGACTGCCCTTCATCCCTGAGGACGGCACGAAAGACCCCGGGTACCTGGAAGCTGCCCGGCCTTGCAGCCCCTCTCCCTCCTGCCCCATGTAAGAAACAAAATAGAAATAAAGAAACAAACAAAGACTCAGACCAAAACCCAGGGAGAAAACATTTCTAATCTGAATTCATTGTTTCACATCTGAGGACCACAGTAGAATCTACCTGATACTTTGTGGAATGAAAGATACAAACGAGAATCCAGGAATATTTATGCGTGTTAAAACGAGAATCTAGGAATATTTATGCATGTTAAGTCCATCCTTTTTTTTTTAAATTTTTTTCTCCTTTCAGATAATGGCCCATGTTTAGGTTCTAGGAAACCAGACCAACCCTATGAATGGCTTTCGTACAAACAGGTGAGTTTTCTGGCTGTGTGGCCGCCTCATGTGAGCCATAGTGCTGGAACATGGCAATTCTTGGAGCCATTGAACATTGGGCAGGAAGGAGTAATGAGCTGTAGGTCCGGTGGGCAGAGGGATTTCTCAGTGTTAATTTTGCCTTACCAGAGCCAAATAGTAGTTTTCAGATCCCTCACTTTCAGAAGTGGTGTAAAAACAGTTCATGTGTGTTGGAAATTTCACATTGCACGATGGTCTTCAGAATCTTCAAGTGCTTCTGGGTTACATCGTCTTCTTGTCATGTTACTGTTTTGTTCAGGTCTCAGCCTGTCAATAATCCATATTGTGGCTGGACCAGCCCTCGTGGTTCATATTATGATTGCAAGACGCCTTTCAGCAATAACCATAAGGAAACTTGGGAAAAATAAAGCTTTCTTACTACAGGACATGGAAATGACACAACACACCTGGGCCACACAAGCGAGGTCTCGGGTAGGGGGAGAGAGAGCATAGAGCACCTGGGGTTCTGCTTTATTGGGGTCAAAGATGGGGGCCTAGGGTTTCGAGGGCTCATTCTTATTGATGAATTTGAAACAGAAGAGCAGGAACTTAAAGCACAGGAAGAGAGAAAACAAGTGGCACAGACTGTCAGTTATCGACATCAACCGAGATCTGTGAAACAAAGGAGCCTCATGCGGGGAGGGGGCCTGGCTCTTTATCTAGCCTATGGCTGGTGATGCGTCAGCCTTGGCTTGGAAGTGGATGGTCATCAATCAAAGCTTAAGGCAGGCACTTGCGTTACAAAAAAAGAGAAAGCCCAGCCCTTGGGGTTTACACTACAGTTACCTATAGTGATCTGTTCCTCTATTGCTTCTGTTATATATTGACTGGAGGAGAGAAAACAGGTCCATTGCAGGTGGGATGTTTGAAGGCAGATTGAAAATCACTGGGGTTTCAGAAGTACATTTGTACATTTCAGACAGAGGCTGGTGAAGATAAAAAAATAGACTTAAGCTAACTTTGAATTTGTATATTTTTACTTTTTTTTTTTTTGCGGTACTTGGGCCTCTCACTGTTGTGGCCCCTCCCGTTGGGGAGCACAGGCTCCGGACGTGCAGGCTCAGCGGCCATGGCTCACGGGCCCAGCCGCCCCGCGGCATGTGGGATCCTCCCAGACCGGGGCACAAACCCGCGTCCCCTGCATCGGCAGGCGGACTCTCAACCACTGCGCCACCAGGGAAGCCCTGAATTTGTATATTTAAATCACTTTTTCCCCCTAGCCCAGTGATTCTTAGCTTTTGGGGCTAGGAACCCCTGTAAGGTTTTTCGAAGAAAGGTCTGGACCCTCTTTCTAGAGTCACAAGTACATGCATAGGATCCCAATAAGCTCTGAAAACCATCTAGGTACTCGCAGGTTCCCAGCCCTTACACACAAGCAGGAGTTGTGAAACAGTCCATGGGGTATGGAAGTAATAAGCATGTTAATGTCATTCTTGCTGTCGCCTGGCCAGCGTTGCTTTCACCGCCATTGCTGCGTATGGAGGGGCACTATGTGCCAGAACCCACAGGCTTCTGGGGCAGGAATAGGTGTGGTTCTGTTTTCTGCAGGCGTGGGTGTGGATTTAAAGTGCTCTTGAGAATTTACCAACTGAGAATAAAGAAAAGAATTCCAAATTAAGATTCAAAAAAATTTTTTTTCGTTCATTTGGGGTAAGAATGAGGAGAGGATGAGGGATGGGGGCAGGGATATAGCTCTGCCTAATTTTTATGAATCTACCTATTTTTACATAGTTGTAATTAATAGTATGCGTTTTTGTATTCATTTATCTTACTTAAAATTGTTACAAATACTCTGTTTGATATGGTTTTCATAACTGTAGTATTTAGTAGCTGTAGAACATTTTCTTAGAGATTTACCATCACTTACTTAACCATCTAGCCATTGGTCTTTTTTCCCCTAGACTTTTGTGACTTTAGATAATTTTGAAATACATATCTTTGTACCTAAAGTTTTTTCAAACCTCTGGTTAGGATTGGGTTATTTCCAAAGAATGAATTCTCAAGAATAGAACTGTGGAGCCTAATGATAAGACCTTGTTCTTATTTTTTTTTAAAGATCGCCCCCAAACTTGTTGTTTGTGTGGTTATATCAAAGGACAAGTTTTGGCTGCTTGGTTGCTCTTTATAAACACAGACACAAAATTCTGTGTCCCTGGATTGCTTTTATAATTTTATAAAACGGAAGTATAAAAGTATAGAAACTAAACTAAAGTATAGAAACTCTGACATGTATCATCTGTGACCTGCAGCTGTTGGGGGTGAAGTTCATTTGCTTTGCAGAAGGAACCATATGATCAGTTTTCTTACAGTGAGCTCTGGTGATTCAAACCTTGAACTTTACAAAAATGTGTAACTAAAGGAATACCTGTTTGCCCCTGTTCTTCCCCCACCCCAGGCAATGCTGCTTCTCGGCTAAGATATTAGGCTTGGCCATCACAGGAAGCTGTGTTCCTTGAGTTGGGCCTGATGCTCTTCCTGATTTTTTCTCCCCCGTTTTAGGTTGCAGAAATGTCAGAGTGTGTGGGCTCGGCGCTGCTCCACAAGGGCTTCAAGGCGGCCCCAGATCAGTTCATCGGCATCTTTTCTCAGAACAGACCTGAGGTATTAACCATTAGGCCCTGACCGTACATGGTTTGGAGAGGTCTCAGATGGAAGAAACAGTTAGGGTTCACACCTACCTCTGCTTCAGACCAGACTCTTTGGTCTGATTACCTCTGAGAACATGACTTTGTGTTATGCCTTAGAGAGTTACATGTATGAAAACCCAAACCAGGCCCTTCTTAGCCTTTACGTCGGAAAAACAAATCACTTTTAAAGAAAATTATGGTTTTTGTTTTTTTAAAATCAGGTCCCCAAACAAAAACTAGTGAAGAAAGTCTTAGAACAAATAACTAACAAAGAAGTCTTCCCACTTTAAGGGCTTCCTCTGTGATTAGAAAAGTGGCATTAATAAATGACAGAGAAACTTGGATACATTTTTGTCAGTAGCAAACTCTCATCTTTTCTCTCTAAAAGGTCTGGGCTCTCTCTGCCCAGGTTATAAAGTTTAAAATCCCAGGGGCCATGGGGAAGGGGCCTCACTGGGAGCTGGCCTTAATTTGGGCAAGCATACTGTTGTTTAGCCATTCAGGCCCATGCTTGTTGCTTCTGTAAACCGCTGTATTAAATTACATTTAAATGAGAAGCCCCCTGGAGCTATTGCCTGTAGTGTGAGTAAACAAATAGTGGCATAGCTGGTGCAGAAAAATTCAAGCACTGGGCTTGAAGAAATTGAATTGATTCTTAGACCTACGTGGGTCCAAAAGACATGTTGGTTCAATCCCTGTGCTACTATTTTATAAATTAGAGTGGTTTCTCAGCAGGGTTTTTAAAATAAATTTATTTATTATTTTTGGCTGCCTTGGGTCTTCGTTGCTGGGCGCGGGCTTTCTCTAGTTGCGGCGAGCTGGGGCTACTTTTCGTGCGGTGCACGAGCTTCTCATTGCCATGGCTTCTCTTGTTGGGGAGCACAGGATCTAGGCATGTGGGCTTCAGTAGTTGTGGCGCGCGGGCTCTAGAGCACAGGCCCAGTAGTTGTGGCGCGCGAGCTTAGTTGCCCCGTGGCATGTGGGATCTTCCCGGACCAGGGCTCGAACCCGTGTCCCCTGCGTTGGCAGGTGGATTCTTAACCACTGCGCTACCAGCAAAGTCCAGGGTGGAGTCTTGATGCCTACGAGGGTGGGGAGGCCAAGGGAGTGTCAGGAACAATGGCATGCTTGTGTGGAGCAGCGTGTCTGTGATGGGGGATGAAGCATTTCACTGTGGTGGAGGGTGGAGTGGCAGGATGAGAGAGAGAGACAGCTCCAGGCCAAGTGACTGTGAGTGGGTTGTGCTTGCTCCCCCCGGCCACTGTGCCCTCATCCGTGCCGTGTGTTCTGCGGATGATGGGCACCACTGAGGATTATAAGTGAAAGAGGGACTCTGCTGCATCTGCCTTGTAGGCGGGTCAGTTGCTGTGTGGCTGGTGTGTTTAGAGGAAGATGACCAGTGACTGTGTCACTTCTTTCCTCCTCGCTTTCCTAGGGAACCTTCCAGGACAGTTTTCCCGGTAGACAGTGTGTCCCTCTTCCCCGAGTCCCAGGCCCTACTGTACACTGTGGCCAGGTTGCCGTCCCTCAGAGCCCCAGTTGCTGTTTGGCCGAGAAACCCCAGAGGCTGCACCTTGCCAGGGACATAGAGCCAGGCTCCCCCGTGGCCTCAGGCCGGCTCCAGCCTAGCCAGTCCCCACAGCCCTGCTGGGCTGTCCCTGCCAGCCTGGTGGCTCACTGATGCCCCCACTCGCTGCCTTTTTTAAAAAAAATATTTATTTGGCTGCGTTGGGTCTTAGTTGCGGCGCGTGGGATCTTCCTTGCGGCATGCAGGATCTTTCATTGCAGCACGTGGGCTTCTCTCTAGTTGTGGCACACGGGCTCAGTAGTTGTGGCACGTGGGCTTAGTTGCTCCGCGGCATGTGGGATCTTAGTTCCCTGACCAGAGATTGAACCTGCGACCCCTGCATTGGAAGGCAGGTTCTTACCCACTGGACCACCCTCCCTGCTTTTTTTTTTTTTTTTAACATCTTTATTGGAGTATAATTGCTTTACGATGGTGTGTTAGTTTCTGCTTTATAACAAAGTGAATCAGTTATACATATACATATGTTCCCATATCTCTTCCCTCTTGTGTCTCCCTTTACCCTCCCTGCTTTGATCTCACAGTCCCGCCTCCCAGAGTCCCCTTACCTTTCTCTCCACCTGTCCAAATCGTGCTGCTCTTGCAAAGGGCAAGCTCGGTTACCTCCCCCACCAAGGAGGCCCACTGCAGGCTGTCTTGCCTCTGAGCCCGTCACTCTCATGCTGTTCATTCTCTTTTCACATATTTGCCTCAAATTTTCAGGCAAATTGTACTTTCCTTTTAAGAAGTGAGCAAGTGTTTTGCCCTCATTAGGAATCCCTTTGGTGCCTGGCACATAGTAGTAGATACACAGATGTTAGTTTTGCTACATCTGGTGTTTCCATGTTGAATCTCTATAGAGTATTGTTTTCCCTGGAGTGGTTCCACAATATCTTATTTTCTCACCCTGATCTTTACGTTTTCCTTAGTGGGTGATCATTGAACAGGGATGCTTTACTTATTCGATGGTGATCGTTCCCCTCTACGATACCCTCGGAACAGAAGCAATCACCTACATCATCAACAAAGGTATGTTTGCGGCCTTTAGGGGCACTTTGGCATAGTTATTGGTTAGATACAGAGACTGCATTTGCTGATACATGATATGATAGGGATTTTTCCATTTAAATGTACATCTACCCTCCTATTCAGAAATGTAGTACTTAACCTGGTGTCAGATGTTACAGTCAAGCTTTTAGTATCCCAGAGCTGGTTCCTCACTGTGTCTCTTCACTTCCAGCTGAACTCTCTCTGGTTTTTGTGGACAAGCCAGGGAAGGCCATCCTCTTATTAGAAGGTGTAGAAAATAAATTAACACCATCCCTTAAAACGATCGTTCTCATGGACTCCTATGGCAGTAATCTGTCGGACCGAGGCAAGAAGTGCGGGGTGGAGCTCATCAGCATGAAGTCGATGGAGGTGAGTCACCCTGCCCTGCCCACCTCACTGCAGGGTTTCCCTGAGGTCATTTTGGCTCAAATGTGGTGTCCAGTGCGGCCACAAAGTCCCAGCTCTGGCTGGTCCTGTAAAAGATGGAGAGCAGAAATCTCTGTCTCATTACTGGAAAGAAGAATTCTACCCGCATGCCCAGTGTTAATCCATCACATTTTACAGGAAGTGTTCTCATCAGGAGAGCTGCAGTGCTCACATACTCATTCTAGAGTACTGACAAGCCATGCCAATAAATGCTGGAAATGGGAATTTCAGATTCAAGCAGAGATTTAAGTTTGTATGTCCTCTTTAGGCTTTAACACCTTTTACTTACTGATTTGTCTCTTAAACGGAGCCAGACATAGAAATCTGCCTCGTTTTTCTTTTCCCCAGGTGAATTTCTAGCATAGAGGCTTGATTTGGTTTATTTTTGTATTATATTTAAGATTCACATTAATCACAACTTTAAAGGTAACCATTCTAGGAAAATGAGTGTGGCCCATACTTTAGTTGATTGTTTGACATCGGATCCTACAAGAAGCTAGTCTCCCCAGTTTTTGGATTAAACTTCAATCCAAAACTGGGCAAGAGGAGGCCCTTGTTATTATGTGCACATCACGGGAAGTAATAGGTTCAATAGAATAAGTCATTCTCTTTCTGAAAATGTTATAAATATTTTCCTGGAACTGTTATAAATAGGGTTTTGAATTTTATTTACAATTCTCCTTCTATCAAGAATTTGAGCTATGAGGAAGGATCTATAAAACCTTTCCTGGGGAACTTAGTTGTCACAGAGAATCTGTCATTTGTTCTGTCAGAGCTTCTGCCTCTCTCTCTCTCTCACACACACACACACACACACACACACACACACACACACACGATAGCATACAACAGGAGTCCATAAGAGCTAATGGGTGTGCTGAATTGTTAAATTGGCTTTTTAACTAGCTTTTCACCTAGCATTTCCCTATTTTTGTATTTTTTACTTGTAACCCCATTTCATAATTATATCTTTTCCCCCATTTTTCCTCTTCCTGCTGCCCCCACCACACACAGACACATACACAAGCATTTTTTTTGTCTTTTTTGACTGCTCTGTATGATAAAGAAGTAATCTTAAGATTAAAATTTAGATAAGTAAGTGACCAAAGATTATAATGTAAAGTTTATATTAAAATATTTGTAAAAGACATTGTTTTACACTTACCTGTATAATATGATTCATATTGGGTTTTTTAAATTTTTATAAACAAAATATTAAATTTTTAAGCAATGAATTTAAAACTAACTTTTTGGTTGATCATGTGATCTAATTTTTATTAATAATTATTAATAATTAATAATTTTATAGCATCAAAAATAGAAACACTGGTATTTTTGCATTTTTTCCAATATTTTGTTATGAAAATTTTCAAATATGCAAATAAGTTGAAAGAATTGAGCAGTAGACCACTATATCCCACCAAGAGTCTACAATTAACATTTTAATATATCTGCTTTATCACAGATTAATCATTCTGTCTCTTTATTCACTTCACTGATTTGTCTTTTTTTTCTTTGTTTTCTTCACTGTCGTGGCCTCTCCCAATGCGGAGCACAGGCTCCGGACGCGCAGGCTCAGCGACCATGGCTCACGGGCCTAGCCGCTCCGCGGCATGTGGGATCTTCCCGGACCAGGGCACGAACCCTTGTCCCCTGCATCGGCAGGCGGACTCTCAACCACTGCGCCACCAGGGAAGCCCTGACTTGTCTTTTTTTATTCATTTTCAGTAGAGTACAAATTTTTTCACCCCCAAATACTTCATTAAGTAGAATTCAGTTTTCCTTCTGTTTATGGTTCTTTTTTATTTTGGCATTTGGAACCTAAAGATGACAACTTTAATTTTTATAATAGCTGTATTTTTTCCTAAATAATGACATAAGTCAGGCTTCAGGCTATGAAACTCTCTTGGCAAATAATGGACTAATTTGGATATTTTTTTTCTAATAAATTAAAAGTCTAATTGCATATAACTTGCTTTATTTTACTTAACATCAATTTTTGAAGAATTAGAGATCTTAAGAAGTTAATGTAAGAATTTTTAAAAGATGAGTGGAAATTTGGATCTGATAAAGATTATTTTAGAAAAAAGACTGGTAGAATTATCATTACTTTAACTCTTAGTTAACTTCTATTTGGATGTCAATGTTCCTATTTTTAATCAGTGGTCTGTTATATATATAATTTAAAGTGTGATTAGGATTAAAAACTGTTTAAAACTGTATGCTGGGTAGAAACTCACTAAGCCCTGAGCCCACCCATCTAATTTCCATTTATTTCTAGGCATGCTCATTCCACATGCTCACTCAAGCTGTTCGATTTTAATAGGAAAAGAATATAAATAGTTCATTAAAAAAAATTAATAGATATTAAAGTGGTCATGGAGACACCTTCATGAAATAACACCATCAGGATTAGCCCTTGGTAGTAACTGGGAGCCCGCCTTTGGGAAATGCCGTACCTCAGAAATGAATCTGTTGTTCTTAACCTTCATAGCCATTCGAGAGTGGTCTTAGAGCTTCTGTCGTGGCCTGTTTTATAATCAGAGATGCCCCAATCCTTCCTCTGCTCCATGTGGGGAGTACAGATAGTTGAGCCTCTCCAGAATGGCCACCAGTTAAGTCTGGCAGAGACTGATTTTCTCTCTCCAGATTGAAGATGTCAGTTCTGCAGAATTGGGTCATCACATATCTGTGCTGAGCTCTGGTTTTGGAAGGGTACAGAGCAGGTGTGGTTCTCTGATTACGGTGAAGAGCCGGGCTTTGTTAAAGGCTGTGATAGGGGAGTGGAAACCAGAAGAACGTGTAAAAGACTTGGATTCCTGTCTTTTGAATAAATCCTGTTTCAAAGGCCAGTCCTAATGCCATCGATATAGTTTTATATAAGAGAGAAAACAACCAGAAAATGGCTCCTTAGAATGATGGGTAAGTATTTGGGTTCAGGTTAATTAAAATTGCCATAGTTTATTTAATTTGAAATCTGTGCCATCTTTGAGTCAGCTGTGAGCGAATCCCACAGAAAAGTCAGCTTGAGCTGACTTGATGTGACTTTTGTTCTTTACATTTAGAAAATGTTTCCATTGAAGATTTTTTTTTCTCTTCTCTTTAAGGACCTGGGAAGAGCCAACAGACGGAAGCCCAAGGTGAGTGCACCATGTGCGACCCTGCCCCAGCCTCTGTGTAGCTTCCGTGTCTAATCAGCTCAGAGCCTAGTAGAAATCTTGAGTGATATCTTATGACTTAAAGTTTTCTATTCTATTCTGATTTATACTGGCTTTTTTTTTTTTTAATGTGCTGTAGCCTCCAGCACCTGAAGATGTTGCAATAATTTGCTTCACAAGTGGCACTACAGGTCAGTTTTGAAAAGGAATTGTTTCTGAGTGGTATCTGGAAGTGTATATTCCCTGCCTCTTCTTGTGGATGACTTATTCAAGCTATAGATGGACTAGAACTAGAAGAGACAGAAGTGTTCAAGCCTGTCTTACGGTAGCTCTATCAGACGTTCCCAGAATCTGAGCACGTCCTCAAACATTTATGAAAGGTCACAGTAGGTAGGATCACCCGTCTTCCTGGGACAAAGTGTATCCATGGTTTCCAGAAATAAAATTGCTGGATTTTCTTCTCTTACTGCTACACACACCCTCTAAAACTTGCCCATATTAGTAAAGATGGTTTAAGATAATAAGTTTCATTTTAAAGGATTGCAGATTGCTCAGGAATTTAACGTGACTAACTTTTGGCTTTCATGGGTGTACCTCACAGTACAGGCATCAGAGGCTCAAATGATATGGGGTTTCTGGGCTTCTGTCATGTCCATCATTCTTGGCTGGAGTTTCTGTCCTCTAACTTTGTTCTGTTCATATGTGTTCACAGGCAACCCCAAAGGAGCGCTGATCACCCATCGAAATGTAGTGAGCGATTGTTCAGCATTTATTAAAATGACAGAGGTAAACTTTGGGGATGTTGTATATTCTTCATATCCATTGGTTGGCATCAGGCCTCAAGAATGAAGGTGGTAAAAGCCCCACTGTCATGTTAGGCATGGGCTGTATTTGAAACACTGTCTGAAATATAGATAAGGTCTGAGCTTTCATACATTCACCTTCTCCCAAATAGTTTTCACTGTGGACCTAATCCCCAACGCCTGCTGTGACCGTTAAGATGAATTGACAGATAGAATTTGTTACATCTTTTATATGTAAAACTTTATTTGGATACTGCTCTATAAATGTTTCCAGGAAAGGACAGAGAAGAACTGACTCTCTTGTTTTTATCTCCTATTTTAGTATGGAAAAGAATTAATTTCTTTAAGTTGACAAAGAAATGTTAAATGCTGCTGAAGGTTTTTTGGATTATTATCGTTTTTATTATTTATTATGCTTGATTTGATTTGGCTTCCACTTTATAAGAAGGATTAAAGCCTCAAACTTTAGTTACTTCCTATAATCTTAAAGTTTGCTTTGTAAGTATCTTAGTCTGCCTGGGCTGCCACAACAAAATAACACAGACTGGATGGCTTAAACAACAGACATGTATTTTCTCACAGTTTTGGAGGGTAGAAGTCCATGATCGAGGTGCCAGCAGGTTTGGTTCTGGTGAAGGCTCCCTTCTTGGCTTGTAGACCGCAGGCCCCTCACCACCCCATCCCCCGACATCTCCTCTGTTTGTGTACGGAGAACAAGAGAGAGGTTTCTGGTGTTTCTCCCTGTTCTTACAAGGACACCAGCCTTATTGGATCAGGGCCCCACCCTCATGACCTCATTTAACCTTAATGACCTTCCCTGTCTCCAAATACAGTCACTTTGGGGGCTAGGGCTTTAACATATGACTTTGAGGGGGATGGTCACAATTCAGTCTGTAACACCAAAGGTCTATTTCAAACTTGCCGTTTAAAAAAGTACTTATTGAATAATATAATGAATGCCTTTCCCTCATATCCTTTGCACACTTTTACATAATTTGCTTTTGCAAATTACATGTTTCTGGGAGGGCTCCACACGGTCTACTTTTTGTGGTAGGAGCCTGTGCTTAATGGTTTTGGGGAATGGGCACCTTTGGCGACTGCAGAAGCTTGATCTCACTTTCACTTATACTTACACTTTCTTAATCCTTTTCGTATATACTTTCTAAACAGAGTTCAACATTTAGTACCTTAGCAAGTGAAATTTTACTTTCCTTATTGACCTTCAAAGAAAACTTAAAATTCATGAATCATTGAAGTAAATGTTTACAGTTAATGTTAATATTAAGATTCACAATTTGTAATTTATAATAATAAAATGGAAAATTCCTGGAAATTCTAATGCTTTTCTGCCTGCCTGGTGTCTTTGCTTTCCAGCGTGCATTCATTCCTTCCACAGATGATACTTTGATCTCTTTCTTGCCTCTCGCCCACATGTTTGAGAAGGTTGTAGAGGTAGGTACTGAGTTTTATTTTGTTTGTGCACATGCATTTGGTTGTGTTCTGCTAAGTTGTTGTGTTTTACAGAAAGCACTTGTCTTGAATGCTAGTGACACAGACATTTCATTTTTACCATTGCACACATGCATGAGTGGTTCATGCAGATAAGTTTGAGTGTGCAGACTGTCCTCTACGTAGAGAGTTCTTTGCTCAGGCCCATTTTAGAAATTGAGCTAATTATTTAAGAGTATAATTTTTTTTCTGGGTCCAGATACTTGAACTTTAATACTCATTTTAAAATTGGAAGCTCAGACTTTTGAAGGACACGAATATGGACGTGAATTCAGAAAGATGAGCTGTGAATGTAGAATTTTTATGAATACCATCCCACAAAGGCTGGTGAGGCTTCAGTTCTGTAAGAAGTCTCTATTTTTTTTCTTTTTGGCCATGCCGTACGGCTTGTGGGATCTTAGTACCCCGACCAGGGATCGAACCCATGCTCTCTGCAGTGGAAGGTGTGGAGTCCTAACTACTGGACCGCCAGGGAAGTCCCAGAAGTCTCTGTTTTTGACTGTGCTTGTTCATAAGGCACAAGTTGACTCCAGATTCATTTTTTCAGCAATATTCCAAGTGCCTTTGGCAAAGCAGGATGACCTTCAGCTGACCTCTGCCTGAGCTCCTCATACACGAGTGTGTGACTAATTTAAAAACTGACCAAGAACCATCTTTTTTCCTTCTTGGACAGTTTTGGATTGTATGCTTACAGGAGAAACAGTGAGCACTGCTCACTCATTTAATGAATGTTCACGGGGCAGCAGCTGTGTTGCAAGTACTGGGCAGGTATTAGAGAGAGAGGGGCAGCTGATAAAATCCCGGCCCTTTGACTAGCTGCCGCCCTGTAGGATTCACTTCCCCCAAAGGATCAAGGATCTTCTATCTGATACTTGTGTCTCCTGCACGCCTCAGGAGACCCTGTGAGTTTACAGAGTGACTGCAGACGTGTTGACAGTGGGACTAGTTTGCAAAGTGTGCCCAGGAGGCAGAGGCCACACTGAACAGAAACCTCTGAGCTTTAAGTTTTAAACAATGAACCTTTCTAGTTGTTCCTGCTTTCAAGCCTAAGACCGTTTGTACTTCCGTTGCATCATCTCTTGAATCTCTCTTTCTTTTTAAAATTTAAAACAGGCAGACTCTTTGTCAAGTGCCTGTGGCTTGCCAGTGCAGCTTGCATCAGACAGGACAAAATTCAGGCACTAGGTTATAGCCGAATGCAAACTGCTGCGGTACAGATGGCCTAGTGCCTCGGCTGCAGCGTATTCTGACTACTCAGAATTTTTTAGTTAGATTCAGATAGAAGAGATGAGACTTTTAAAAGCTAAGGCAAGTAGCTAAGTTTTTTTGATGAGAATAAGTTAGACCTAAAGTTTCTGGAAGGCTAAAAATACTTGGATTATCGAATACCATGTCATTCATTCAGCAGATATTTATTATTGAAGCTAAAATAGCAGAACCTCTCTGATCATCACTGAAAACCACATTCCCTGGTTTCTTACTAGTCCCTTTATCTTCAGGATAATCAAGAGCGATGCCACATTCCCGTGTTGTACAAGGACCCAAGGACACAAGAACATTGTTTGAAAAGCTCCCTACATTTAGGAACTTTATGATTTCTGGAAGCTGGTCTGAAATACTAAAACTGGAGCCTTGTGTGTCTGTGTGTGTTGTGTAATCCCTGCTGCAATGATGACATGTTGGATATTTCTGTTTACCTCTCTAGTTTTTGATGCTGAGTCACGGAGCTAAAATAGGATTTTTCCAAGGAGACATCAGGCTGCTTATGGATGATCTCAAGACCCTTCAACCCACCGTCTTCCCTGTGGTCCCCAGACTGCTGAACTGGATGTTTGACTGACTTTTTCCTCAGGCGCGGACCCGGATGTTTGACCGAGTAAGTGCCAAGGGAAGAGAAGTGGCAGAGCTCCGAACCTTGAGTCCAAGACCGTGTGTGACCATGGCCGCTGCCCTTACTCTCTCAAGGGACTGCAGTTTACCCCTCTGCTAATAAACCTGAGTGCGTTTACCTCCCAGAGCTGTGAGTGACGGTTATAAGAGAAAGTGCCTATGGACACACCTTGTAAACTGGAAGGCACAATACAGGTGTGAGGTGGAGGTTGTTTTATTTTCATGATAAACTCTTTGAGCCTCTGTTTTCTCATCTTTACAGTGGACTGTTACCTCCTCCATCTCATAAAGATGCTAATTACATCATATGAAAAGGCTTTATAAATTGTATAGCTCCACTGCATGAAAAATATTACTTACTTAGCCACCCTGAGAGACGTGACTAAACCAAGCCAGGGACCGAGAGTAGGTGGTGAGCCTTTAGAGCACGGACCCCACAGCTGGGGCTGGACCCTGTGTGGTGTGAGCAGTCTCCAGAATGAATTTGGACTGGGCGGTTCCAATACTCTTTATTTTGAGACATGGCTTTCGTCATCTATGAGAACCTTCTCATTTTTTTTTTTTAATTTATTTATTTTTGGCTGCATTGGGTCTTCGTTGCTGCCGACAGGCTTTCTCTAGTTGCGGCGAGCAGGGGCTACTCTTCGCTGCGGTGCGCGGGCTTCTCATTGCAGTGGCTTCTCTTGTTGTGGAGCATGGGCTCTAGGCACGTGGGCTTCAGTAGCTGTGGCGTGCAGGCTCAGTAGTTGCGGCACGTGGGTTCAGTAGTTGTGGCACACGAGCTCTAGAGCGCAGGCTCAGTAGTTGTGGCGCATGGGCTTAGTTGCTCTGCGGCACGTGGAATCTTCCGGACCAGGGATCGAACCTGTGTCCCCTGCATTGTCAGGCAGATTCTTAACCACTGTGCCACCAGGGAAGTGCCAACCTTCTCATTTTCTTAATAGTTCTTTTTTAAAAAACTCTAAAACAGCTTTATTGAGATATAATTCACATTACATGCAATTCACCCACTAAGTGTACAATTCAAAGGTTCTTAGTACATTCTCAGAGTTCTGCAACCATCATTACAGTCCATTTTAGAACATTTTTATCACCTCAAAAAGGATGTGGTATCATCCTCCACCCTGCTACCTCCCTCCACCACCCAAAAAACTCATCTACTTTCTGAATCTATAGATTTCCCTATTCTGGATTTTCATGCGAATGGAATCATGCAATATTCTTTTGTTGCTGGCTTCTTTTGCTTAGTATGCTTTCAAGGTCCATCCTTGTCATAGCATGCATCCATACTTCATTCCTTTTAATGGCCAAATAATACTCCACTGCATGGATACAACACGTTTTATTTATCCATCCATCCACTGATGGGCATTTGGGTTGTTTCTGCTTCTTGGCTATTATGAATAATGCTGCTGTGAACATTCACGGGCAAGAGGCTGTGTGGACATGTGTTTTCATTCTCTCGGGTATGTGCCTAGGAGCATAATTGCTAGTCATACAGTAACTCTGTGTTTAACTGAGGAACCGCCGGTCTGTTTTCTAAAGCAGCTGCACCATTTCACATTCCCACCAGCAGTGTATGAGGGTTCCAATTTCTCTACATTTTCACTGACACTTTTTATTATCTGACTTTTTATTATCTCGCCATCCTACTTATTGTGAAACCTTCTTGCTTCTTGACTTACTAGATTTTTGCTCAGGCAAACACCACGCTGAAGCGATGGCTGTTGGACTTTGCCTCCAAGAGGAAAGAAGCCGAGCTTCGCAGTGGCATCATTAGAAACAACAGCCTGTGGGATAAGTTGATCTTCCACAAAATACAGGTATTAGCACATTGACTCACAACGGTTATTTGTCATGTAAACACCTTTGCGTTTCAAACTTTCTGTGAGGGCTCTTTTTTTTTTCAATTGAAGTATAGCTGATGTACAATATTATATAAGTTACAGGTGTACAATATAGTAATTCACAGTTTCTAAAGATTATACTCCATTTATAGTTATTATAAAATATTGGCTATATTCCCCATGTTGTGCAATATATCCTTGTAGCTTATTTTATACCTAATAGTTTGTACCTCTTAATCCCCTACCCCTATATTGTGTGAGGACTGTTTTTAAAAGAGAAGGTGAGAGAGAGAATTTCTGGCACATTTCTAAAAACTAAGGACAAAGCCATTAGCAAAACCTCAGTGTCCAAGATAAATCTGAACAGTGTTTAGTTATCCAGGGCAGAAAAGGAATCAGGTAGCATAGGCTTTCTGATTCTCCATTTTGTTTTACCGTTCTGGGACTCTTGAGGTATTTTTTTAGGCATGAGTGATAAAGAATATGGAATAATATTATGTCCCCTAGGAGGTGGTGGTTGCCATAAACCCACGACACTCTTGTTCTAATTCCTTAAAACACCTGCAGGTATAGAGGTGTTGCTTTATTTTCCACACCTGTTGAGAGTGAATGGAGTGGTTTCGGGTGGAACAAAACTCCAATCAGGTGTCCCTCTTGGGGTGCCTGTGCGTCGTCGGGCGCAGTGAGTTCTGTGCAGCCTGCAGACAAGGAGCTGGTGGGTTAGAGTATTGGGGTTCCAAGAAGGAATCTTTGAGAAGCCCGCCACCTTCCAGTCACTTGCCCCTCACCCTCTCCCCTCTCCCTGCCTTGCAAGTCGAGCCTGGGAGGAAAAGTACGGCTGATGATCACAGGAGCAGCGCCCGTGTCCGCCACCGTGCTGACCTTCCTGAGAGCCGCGCTGGGCTGCCAGGTGAGGCGCCTCCTTCCGCACCTCCCCCTGGTCTCGGACCGAGTCCTGCCCAGGAGTCTGCTTTTTCCAAAAGGCAGTCTCCTCCGCGTGCCGTACTGTTGTCTGGAAGATCATCTTGTTCCTAGGTTGCTTGGAGAAAGGGGTATAGGCACACCTCGGAGATACAGCAGGTTCAGTTCCAGACAACTGCAGTAAAGCCAATATTGCAACAAAGCCAATATCGCAGTAAAGCCAGTCACGTGAACTTTTTGGTTTCCTGGTGCATATAAAAGTAATGTTTACACTAGTCTGTTAAGTGTGCAATAGTATTACGTCTAAAAAGCAATGTATATATCTTAATTTAAAAATACTTTATTGCTAACCGTCATATGACAACGCAGCATTGCCACAAACCTTCAATTTGTAAGAAATGCAGTATCTGCAAAGCGAATAAAATGAAGTGTGCCTGTATATATCTTTTACCCCAGACAGAATATGCATTTGTGTCTACCACTGGGTAATTTTCTCTAGGGTGAGGCACAAAAGATGCCTTTAGATCAGGTGTGAGGGCATGGGGATTGGCAGGCAGTAAGTGATAAGGCGATATGCAAAGCATGCAGAGACCCTTTCTTAAAGGGGAGGGGGAGTCAGCAGAGACTGGGTGATAAGTAGCCAAGCCGACGGAGCGAGTGAGTCCCTGGGCAGGTGGTGCACGGCGTGACCTGTGAATGACATTGTCTCCTATGTGGGTGAATACGTTGGGTGCTGTAATAAAGCGTGTTGTAGCGTATAGGCTGAGGTTACCAAACGAGCTAGAGGAACTTAGTTACTGAGCACTTCTAGCAGAGGTGTGACTGTCCCCCTCTCTTCCTGTCCCATCTCTTGGTGACCCAGTTCTACGAAGGCTATGGACAGACCGAGTGCACTGCCGGGTGCTGCCTGACTGTGCCTGGGGACTGGACCGCAGGTATGATGGCAGGACTTTCCTTATTGGGATCTTACTTTTGGCACTGGAATTACTGGAATTGGGTTAATAAACCAACTTAAACAGGTGTTGTGTCTGTGATGATTAGGCCTTGAGGTCAACAATCTTGGAAACCAGGGGGCCCTGTGGCAGAGTAGGATGTGACTTTGAGGCTCTGTCAACCTGGGTGGGTGGCAACAGAGATTTACATAGATCCTGAAGGTCACATCTAGAGATGGTGTTCTTTATACCAGGTTCAGAATGTTTGGCCCAACAGAGCTTTCCAGGAATTGATTGGGGCCTAATTATTTGCTGGTAAATTTTAATTAAGTTTCCAGAGACTCCAGACAGAAATAAACACAAGTCCTTTGTCCCAAAAGGAAAAAACAGGGGAGGACAAACTGTCCTGCATGAGGTTCTGCCTCAGGAGTTTATGATGCACATTATATGTGCTTCATCCCAGCACCCCTGTGAGAGAAGCCCTGTTACCTCTGCGAGGACATGATTGATTGTTGGCTAAAAGGCATGTCGGTAATGTATAAGAATTTACACAGCTTTATGTTTTGGAGCCAGGATTCCAACCCAGGTCTGACCATAAAACTTCTGTGCCTTCCCCTGTCCCACACCGGCAGTGTATTCTACACTGTGATAAATAAATTCTGTGATTTGTTTGCTGTTTTACACATATGAACATCTAATGACATAGATTCTAGTATCAAGCACTTTCTAGTAGCATAATTCTGCTGCGATTGGCACTAACAGTCTGTGAACCTTTTTCATGGTGTTTGTTTAATTTTTTAAAAACAAATTTATTTATTTATTTATTTTTGGCTGCGTTGGGTCTTCGTTGCTGCGTGTGGGCTTTCTCTAGTTGTGGCGAGCAGGGGCTACTCTTCGTTGCTGTACGTGGGCTTCTCATTGCGGTGGCTTCTCTTGTTGTGGAGCACAGGCTCTAGGCACATGAGCTTCAGTAGTGGTGGCACATGGGCTCAGTAGTTGTGGCTCACATGCTCTAGAGCACAGGCTCAGTAGTTGTGGCGCACGGGCTTAGTTGCTCCGCGGCACGTAGAATCTTCCCGGACCAGGGATCGAACCCGTGTCCTCTGCATTGGCAGGTGGATTCTTAACCACTGCGCCACCAGGGAAGTCCCTGTTTGTTTAATTTTTAACTCCTGGTGCCTTACCGGCTAGAGAATTTGAATAGTGACTTCTTTAAGCTAAAATTATCAAAACATAGGAAGAATGACTTGTGATACTCTTAAAACTTAATCTAATATCTGTTATTTTTGTTTTGGGAAAAGAACCCAGTCATAGCACCGTTTGGCAAGAGAGTTAAGTGAGCTGTGAAAAGAAACCCTGTCCTGTCTTCATAAACTTGCATGTAAAACATGTTCGTTTATAATCAAGGGAATAAGGCCGTATTGGTCAGAACCATCTGACCTGTCAAGGTCTGTTCTTATAGAGAACGGGGATGTTACGTCTGTATGAGGGAGAGCAGGGCCCTCAGATCATGGGAACCAGGTGAAAGTTTCAGGAAACCTGCTTCCAGGTGTTCAAAGAAACCCTGAAAATGAGCAGCCAGATCATTTATACTTTGAAAAATAATTTGGAGCATCAGACTTGGGAAAGCTCCCTAAGAGACATTGGAATGTTTTTGTCTCTTTTCTAGGAATAAACTCTGTAATTTACCAGGGGGTGACAGGCTGTGATTGCCGAAACCAGAGGTTTATACCCTCTGTTCTCATCGTGAGTGGGCTTGTTTGTGATAAAAGTGGTCTGTCCTAAGGATATCGGTAGTCATGGTAGGAGTGATGATCTTTTATTTGATATACAGGCCATGTTGGTGCCCCAATGCCTTGCAACATTATAAAGCTTGTTGATGTGGAAGAAATGAATTACATGGCTGCCAAGGGCGAGGGCGAGGTGAGTGAAATCCCGTAGTCACCCCCTCACTGCGGGCTCCTCCAGTAACCAGCCACCTCTCAGCACCACAGCACGTAAAGCCACTGAGCTTGGTGTTGCTGGTGACCCTCAGTCACACAGGCTTCTTTTTGACGGTACATTTATGCCTAACTCGCAGGGCGGGTAGGGAGGTGGGGGGCTCTAATGCCTGCCTTCTGCCGCCAGCCATGTTGGGGCCGTGGGCCCAGGAGGGTACAGAGGCTCCAGGGCCTGAAGTCCTGGGCCACGGCTTCCTGTCTGCTAATTGCCCTCCATCCCTGTTAGTGAGCTACTGGCTAGAGGAAGGAAGGCCAAATTGCCTTGGGATTTCACCCCCTTTGGGGTTTTCCAGAAGCTCTGATCCAGAGCCTAGGGTGAGCGTGAGCCCTGGAACTTGACTGCAGCCAAGGCCATTATGGAAGGGAAGTGGGGGATGAGAGGTGCTGCCACGATGCCAGCGGGGCTCTGGTAGCTCTGGGAGACACACACACACACACACACACACACACACACACACACACACACACACACACGAGTTTTCTCTGGAGGAGCCCCAGTCAGTGCTCTTAACAGATCATCTTTTTCCCCCTCCAGTTTTGTTGAGATATAATTGACATCCAGCATGGTGTGAGTTTAAGGTGTACAGCATCATGATTTGATTCGTATATATTGTGAAATGATCACCGCAGTAAGTTTAGTAAACATCCATCATCTCATATAGATACAAAAAATAGAAGAAATGTGGTTTTTTCCCTTGTGATGAGAACTCTTTAAGATCTGCTCTCTTAACAACTTTAAAATCTTCCATATGGCTGTGCTAACTGTAGTCACCATGCTGTACGTGACACCCCTGGTCCTTATTTATCGTATAACTGGATGTTTGTACCTTTCATCCACCTTCTTCCAACTCCCACGCCCATGCCTCCCTCCCGGTGTTTTCCCCTCAGGTGTGTGTGAAAGGGGCTAATGTATTTCAAGGCTACTTAAAGGACCCAGCAAACACAGCAGAAGCTCTGGATAAAGACGGCTGGTTGCACACAGGGGACATTGGAAAGTGGTTACCAGTAAGTGGTCCCCTCCCGTGTTCACAGACACTTTTGTTCCACCATAGGGAAGAAAAAACCCCACGTCGCAGTGGCACCCTAACTTTCCCTCCCCTTTCTCCTTACCGAGCGGTGGAGCGTAGACCCTTCCGTCTTCTGAAGGAAACAGGCTTATACTTAGCATCCTCGTGTAGCATTTTCACTTTAATGGCAGCAAATATGTTTTGTTTTGATGCTTGACATCCTTTCCGGTTGCTGCTTCTGGCTTGAAATCCAGAGACACTGTGTCTGGCTTTTCACATTTCACTGCTGTGCCTTGATGTTGAGGCCTTAGTTAAGGTCTGGGGGCACTGCATAGGCTGCCAGGCATGTACGACCGGCGAAAATTTGTGAACACACGTTTCTTAGCATTGTCATATCAGTAAAAACAGGATAAGTGCTTAGAGGATCAGGCCATCCCCTTTGAACTTAGCCTCAGAACCGTTGACTATAGAGAAATACAGAGTCCATCTTGGGAGTGAGATGCTTGTGCAAAAAGCCGACCTGTAGGTTTCACCACTTTTGCTTGTTGTGGTGACACCACTGCTTTTTAAAGTTGTTACTGTGTTTAATTGCAAGCACTCAAATGGCTAGTGTAATTTTTATTATTGTGTATTGTTCTAGTCTTACAGATTTATGGTGCTTTATTTATTTATTTATTTATCACCTATGAGGAATGATTACATAGAATTTCCCCTTTATATCTGCTGTTCTTGGACAATTTGAAAAAAGGAGAAAACCATGATGGCCATTGGTTTAGGGAACATTAGTTTTAGAACTTTTTTTTTGAATTTTATTTTTTTATAGAGCAGGTTCTTATTAGTCATCAACTTTATACACATCATTGTATACATGTCAATCCCAATCTCCCAATGCATCACACCACCATCCCCCCACCATCACTTTCCCCCCTTGGTGTCCCTATGTTTGTTCTCTACATCTGTGTCTCAATTTTTGCCCTGCAAACTGGTTCATCTGTACCATTTTTCTAGGTTCCACATATATGCATTAATATACGATATTTGTTTTTCTCTTTCTGACTTACTTCACTCTGTATGACAGTCTCTAGGTCCATCCACATCTCAACAAATGACCCAGTTTCATTCCTTTTTATGGCTGAGTAATATTCCATTGCATATATGTGCCACATCTTCTTTATCCATTCATCTGTCGATGGGCATTTAGGTTGCTTCCATGTCCTGGCTATTGTAAACAGTGCTGCAATGAACATTAGGGTGCATGTGTCTTTTTGAATTATGGGTATATGCCCAGTACTGGGATTGCTGGATCTGGGTATATGCCCAGTACTGGGATTGCTGGATCATATGGTAATTCTATTTTTAGTTGTTTTTTTTTTCAGATGATTTGCTTTATTTCAAACCTACTTTTAATCAAATAATAAGAGTTTTGCACTGATTTAATAGATAAATAAATATAACACACTAAGATTGCAAAAATCTGGTCAATAAAATGTTAAAATCCAATGAACACATTATTTTTAGTTTTTTAAGGAACCTCTATACAGTTCTCCATGGTGGCTGTACCAATTTACATTCCCACCAACAGTGTAGGAGGGTTCCCTTTTCTCCACACCTTCTCCAACATTTATTATTTGTATTTCTCCACACCCTCTCCAGCATTTGTTGTGTGTAGATTTTCTGATGAAGCCCATTCTGAGTGGTGTGAGGTGATACCTCATTGTAGTTTTGATTTGCATTTCTCTAATAATTAGTGATGTTGAGCAGCTTTTCATGTGCTTCTTGGCCATCTGTATGTCTTCTTTGGAGAAATGTCTATTTAGGTCTTCTGCCCATTTTTGAATTGGGTTGTTTGTTTTTTTAACATTGAGCTGCATGAGCTGTTTATATATTTTGGAGATTAATCCTTTGTTGATTCATTTGCAAATATTTTCTCCCATTCTGAGGGTTGTCTTTTCATCTTGTTTATGGTTTCCTTTGCTGTGCAAAAGCTTTGAAGTTTAATTAGGTCCCCTTTGTTTATCTTTGTTTTTATTTCCATTACTCTAGGAGGTGGATCAAAAAAGATCTTGCTGTGATTTATGTCAAAGAGTGTTCTTATGTTTTCCTCTAAGAGTTTTAGTGTCCAATCTTACATTTAGGTCTCTAATCCATTTTGAGTTTATTTTTGTGTATGGTGTTAGGGAGTGTTCTAATTTAATTCTTTTACATGTAGCTGTCCAGTTTTCCTGGCACCACTTATTGAAGAGACTGTCTTTTCTCCATTGTATATCCTTGCCTCCTTTGTCATAGATTAGGTGACCGTGGGTGCATGGGTTTACCTCTGGGCTTTCTATCTTGTTCCATTGATCTGTGTTTCTGTTTTTGTGCCAGTACCATATTGTCTTGATTACTGTAGCTTTGTAGTGTAGTCTGAAGTCAGGGAGTCTGATTTCTCCAGCTCCGTTTTTTTCCCTCAAGTCTGCTTTGGCTATTCGGGATCTTTTGTGTCTCCATACAAATTTTAAGATTTTTGTTTTAGTTCTGTAAAAAATGCCATTGGTAATTTGACAGGGATTGCATTGAATCTGTAGATTGCTTTGGGTAGTATAGTCATTTTCACAATATTGATTCTTCCAATCCAAGGACATGGTATATGTCTCCATCTGTTGGTAACATTTTTAATTTCTTTCATCAGTGTCTTATAGTTTTCTGCATACAGGTCTTTTGTCTCGCTAAGTAGGTTTATTCCTAGGTATTTTATTCTCTTTGTTGCAGTGGTAAATGGGAGTGTTGCCTTAATTTCTCTTTCAGATTTTTCATCATTAGTGTATAGGAATGCAAGAGATTTCTGTGCATTAATTTTGTATCCTGCAGCTTTACCAAATTCATTGATTAGCTCTAGTAGTTTTCTGGTGGCATCTTTAGGATTCTCTATGTATAGTATCATGTCATCTGCAAACAGTGACAGTTTTACTTCTCCTTTTCCAATGTGTATTCCTTTCATTTCTTTTTCTTCTCTGATTGCTGTGGCTAGGACTTCCAAAACCATGTTGAATAGTAGTGGTGAGAGTGGACATCCTTGTCTTGTTCCTGATCTTAGAGGAAATGATTTCAGTTTTTCACCATTGAGAATGATGTTGCTGTGGGTTTGTCATATACGGCCTTTATTATGTTGAGGTAGGTTCCCTCTATGCCCACTTTCTGGAGAGTTTTTATCATAAATCGGTGTTGAATTTTGTCAAAAGGTTTTTCTGCATCTATTGAGATGATCATATGGTTTTTATTCTTCAATTTGTTAATATGGTGTATCACATTGATTGATTTGCGTATATTGAAGAATCCTTGCATCCCTGGGATAAATCCCACTTGATCACGGTGTATGATCCTTTTAATGTGTTGTTGGATTCTGTTTGCTAGTATTTTGTTGACGACTTTTGCATCTATATTCATCAGTGATATTGGTCTGTAATTTTCTTTTTTTGTAGTATCTTTGTCTGGTTTTGGTATCAGGGTGGTGGTGGCCCCATAGAATGAGTTTGGGAGTGTTCCTTCCTCTGCAATTTTTTGGAAGAGTTTGAGAAGGATGGGTGTTAGCTCTTCTCTAAATGTTTGATAGAATTCACCTGTGAAGCCATCTGGTCCTGGACTGTTGTTTGGAAAATTTTTAATCACAGTTTCAATTTCTTTACTTGTGATTGGTCTGTTCATATTTTCTTTTTCTTCCTGGTTCAGTCTTAGAAGCTTATACCTTTCTAAGAATTTGTCCATTTTCTTCCAGGTTGTCTATTTTATTGGCGTAGAGTTGCTTGTAGTAGTCTCTACTACAAGAGACTGTGTATTTCTGTGGTGTCTGTTGTAACTTCTCCTTTTTCATTTCTAATTTTATTTATTTGAGTCCTCTTCCTCTTTTTCTTGATGAGTCTGGCTAATGGTTTATCAATTTTGTTTATCTTCTCAAAGAACCAGCTTTTAGTTTTATTGATCTTTGCTATTGTTTTCTTTGTTTCTGTTTAATTTATTTCTGCTCTGATCTTTATGATTTCTTTCCTTCTGCTAACTTTGGGTTTTGTTTGTTCTTCTTTCTCTGGTTCCTTTAGGTGTAAGGTTAGATTGTTTATTTGAGATTTTTCTTGTCTTGAGGTAGGCTAGTATAGCTGTAAACTTCCCTCTTAGGACTGCTTTTGCTGCATCCCACAGGTTTTGGATGGTTGTGTTTTCATTGTCATTTGTGTCTAGGTATTTTTTTATTTCCTCTTTGATTTCTTCAGTGATCTCTTTGTTATTTAGTAACGTAGTGTTTAGCCTCCATATGTTTGTGTATTTTATGTTTTTTTCCATGTAATTCATTTCTAATCTCATAGCATTGTGGTCTGAAAAGGTACTTAATATGATTTCAAGTTTCTTAAATTTACTGAGGCTTGATTTGTGACCCAAGATGTGATCTATCCTGGAGAACGTACCGTGCGCACTTGAGAAGAAAGTGTAATCTGCTGTTTTTGGATGGAATGTCCTGTAAATATCAATTAAATCTATCTGGTCTATTGTGTCACTTAAAGCTTTTGTTTCCTTATTAATTTTCATTTTGAATGATCTGTCCATTGGCGTAAGTAAGGTGTTAAAGTCCCCCACTATTATTGTGTTACTGTTGATTTCCTCTTTTACAGCTGTTAGCAGTTGCCTTATGTATTGAGGTGCTCCTATGTTGGGTGCATATATATTTATAATTGTTATATCTTCTTACACATTTTTGGGTTTTTTTTTTTTTTTTTTTTTTTTTTTTGCGGTACGCGGACTTCTCACTGTTGTGGCCTCTCCCATTGCAGAGCACAGGCTCTGGACGCGCAGGCTCAGTGGCCATGACTCACAGGCCTCCTCTTTTATAGCTGTTAGCAGTTGCCTTATGTATTGAGGTGCTCCTATGTTGGGTGCATATATATTTATAATTGTTATATCTTCTTCTTGGATTGATCCCTTGATCATTATGTAGTGTCCTTCCTTGTCTCTTGTAACATTCTTTATTTTAAAGTCTATTTTATCTGATATGAGTATTGCTCCTCCAGCTTTCTTTTGATTTCCATTTGCATGGAATATCTTTTTCCATCCCCTCACTTTCAGTCTGTATGTGTCCCTAGGTCTGAAGTGGGTCCTCTTGTAGGCAGCATATATACTGGTCTTGTTTTTGTATCCATTCAGCGAGCGTGAGTCTTTTGGTTGGAGCATTTAATCCATTCACGTTTAAGGTAATTATCGATATGTATGTTCCTATGACCATTTTCTTAATTGTTTTGGGTTTGTTTTTGTAGGTCCTTTTCTTCTCTTGTGTTTCCCACTTAGAGAAGTTTCTTTAGCATTTGTTGTAGAGCTGGTTTGGTGGTGCTGAATTCTCTTAGCTTTTGTTTGTCTGTAAAGCTTTTGATTTCTCCATCAAATTGCAATGAGATCCTTGCCAGGTAGAGTAATCTTGGTTGTAGGTTCTTCCCTTTCATCACTTTAAGTATATCATGCCAGTCCCTTCTGGCTTATAGAATTTCTGCTGAGAAAGCATCTGTTAACCTTATGGGAGTTCCCTTGTATGTTATTTGTCTTTTTTCCCTTGCTGCTTTCAAAAATTTTTCTTTGTCTTTAATTTTTGCCAATTTGATTACTATGTGTCTCGGCATGTTTCTTCTTGGGTTTATCCCGTATGGGACTCACTGCCCTTCCTGGACTTGGGTGGCTATTTCCTTTCCCATGTTAGGGAAGTTTTCGACTATAATGTCTGTAAATATTTTTTTCTGGTCCTTTCTCTCTCTCTTCTCCTTCTGGGACCCCTGTAATGCAAATGTTGTTGCGTTTAATGTTGTCCCAGAGGTCTCTTAGGCTGTCTTCATTTCTTTTCATTCCTTTTTCTTTATTCTGTTCCGCAGCAGTGAATTCCACCATTCTGTCTTCCAGGTCACTTATCTGTTCTTCTGCCTCAGTTATTCTGCTGTTGATTCCTTCTAGTGTAGTTTTCATTCCAGTTATTGTATTGTTCATCTCTGTTTGTTTGTTCTTTTATTCTTCTAGGTCTTTGTTAAACATTTCTTGCATCTTCTGGATCTTTGCCTCCATTCTTTTCCCGAGGTCCTGGATCATCTTCACTATCATTATTCTGAATTCTTTTTCTGGAAGGTTCCCTATCTCCACTTCATTTAGTTGTTTTTCTGGGGTTTTATCTTGTTCCTTCATCTGGTACATAGCCCTCTACCTTTTCATCTTGTCTGTCTTTCTGTGAATGTGGTTTTTGTTCCACTGGTTGCAGGATTGTAGTTCTTCTTGCTTCTGCTGCCTGCCCTCTTTTATGGTGCCTTTTACTCCGAAATTTTTATTGTTTTGAAGAATACCCCCCCAATTAATTTCAGAGTACCCAAGCTATTTATTTTTTTCATAGACATTATGGTACTTCACCATGGTTCTTTTTTTTCTTTTTCTTAATATTTATTTATTTATTTATTTATTATTGATTTATTTTGGCTACGCTGGGTCTTATTATTTATTTATTTTTTTTTCTTTTGCGGTATGCGGGCCTCTCACTGTTGTGGCCTTTCCCGTTGCGGAGCACAGGCTCCGGGCACGCAGGCTCAGCAGCGGCCATGGCTCACGGGCCCAGCCGCTCCACGGCATGTGGGATCTTCCTGGATCAGGGCACGAACCCGTGTTCCCTGCATCGGCAGGCGGACTCCCAACCACTGCGCCACCAGGGAAGCCCTACGCTGGGTCTTAGCTGCAGCATGTGGGATCTTTAGTTGCAGCATGTGGACTCTCAGTTGTGGCATGCATACAGGATTTAGTTCCCCAACCAGGGATTGAACCCAGACCCCCTACATTGGGAGCTTGGAATCTTACCCACTGGACCAGCAGGCAAGTCCACCCAGGCTATTTAGAAATAAATTAAGTCCCTCTTTCCAGACTCAGGAGGGATGAAGTATCTGTTCTAATTCTGACTCTGGCTCTAAGGAGCACATCTCATAATCTCCCTGCACCTCAGTCGGCTCCCTTTGGAAACGGAGGAAAACTGATGTGGGCTGAGAGAACTTTCCAGTGGATGACTCTCCGAAGCGAGAGAGTGGCCTCGGGTGGGGATGGGGTTTTGTTTACGGGAGATGGGGAGGTGGGAGCTACTGGCATTTGGCGAGTCTGGTCTGGAGATTCTTGCGTCCCCACAGCCATCATGGCAGCTGACAGCCCCCTCCTGCCCCCTCCCTGGAACAGGGACAGAGGGAAGTGAGCTGCTGCCTCTGCAGCCCCTGCTCTGCGCAGAGCCCTGTGGGAGGATGAGCGCGTCTCAGCTCTCGAGGACCTTTACCCCATCGAGCGGCCGATTCAGATATGAGACAAAGTGAAGCTTGCTGAGCTGAAGGGAGCAAGCGGGGTGCTCTGGTTGGCTGGGAGTGAGGGGGGCTCCCAAGTCCCTTCTCTGTGTCTCTACTCTGCTCAGTGGCCTGGGGGAAGTTACGTAATCTCTCTGAGCCTCAGTTTGCCTCTCTGCAAAATGGGTTAACAGCTGACCCCTGCCAGAGGTTATTAGGATTAAATGATAGTGTACAGGAAATGCCTGCTGCTGGGGGGAAAGCAGCTGCTGGACCTGCTCACAGGCTGCTCCCCGCCCTCCAAACAGAATGGCACCTTGAAGATCATCGACAGGAAAAAGCACATCTTTAAACTGGCACAAGGAGAGTACATAGCTCCGGAGAAGATTGAAAACATCTACCAGCGAAGTGAACCTGTCGCTCAGGTGTTTGTCCATGGAGAGAGCTTGCAGGTACGCACTGCCCCAGCCGTGAATTCTGTGGCTGGCGTGGCCCGGGCCTAGAAGTCCAGGGCCTGTCAGTGTGATGGGAAGTTTGCGATGGGTGTGAGTTGACTTTCATGTCTGATGTGCTGGAATATTATCAACACGTTACTGGTTTTTACTGCTTGGCATTTCTTTTTTTTTTTTCCATCTATTTTGTAACTTGGCAATTCTTATCCAGAAAAGTTTTTTTCTCTTTAATTTCATATTACCAAGGGAAGTTGGATAAGGATACCAAGGGAGTGGGTAAAATAAGCTTTTGATTTAATTATGAGGGGAAATATTGATATACAGGTTATAAGAAAGTTTAGAATTTTCAAACATTAAACCCAACTTAGTTATGATATGTCTCCTACGTCATTTTTGAGCAAATGGTGGTTGTGAGCCAACATATTTTAAAGTCTAAAACCAACATCAGTATTGCAATGAGACATGATTTGCTAAAATTTTGGACAGATGGTGGGAAGGAAGAGAAGGGTGTCTGGTTTCCTGAGGGTTAATATTTCTACAAATCTTGAAATTTTGGAAGAATATTTTCTTACAAGAAAGTGAACCTATTTTTCTTCAAGAGTGCACCTATTTTTCTTCGACCTGGAATCATACCCATGCCTCTAATTTTTATTTAGTTTCGTTGTCACTAAATTGTAAAGAATGAGGTGTTAGAGTTTCTCCTAAATGAATCTGCATATATTTTCTCTTTTTATAAAGCAGTTATCTGATATCTATCCCCTTGTTTGCTTATTTGACCCTGTTTTATTTTTAAAAACATATATAAGAGTAAGTAAAAATTAGGGTTTTATTAGGTTTTGATTTCCAATGGTTCTTTTGAAACATTTATTGCAAAATCCCCAACGCTGTCTATATTTCAGAGGCAGGAGTTAACCTGAGCCCCACGGACTCTGGGGCTGGTAACATGCTCTGAAAAGAGGATCTGTAACTCCCATCAGGTTCTCCCAGGGGCCCAGGCTGCAGATAATAACCACAATTTTAGAGCATCTGGATCAAGCCCTTTAATAACTTACTTGTCTCTGTTAAAGGCATTTCTCATAGCAATTGTGGTACCAGACATTGAGACGCTAAGTCCCTGGGCCCGGAAGCGAGGCTTTGAAGGCTCCTTTGAAGAGCTGTGCAGAAGCAAGGTAGGTTCCGAAGCGTGCGGCCTACTCCTGACCTGCCCTTTGCATTAAGTGCAAAGTTCAGGGACTGCCGCCACGGGAATAAGGATCTTACTTTTCTTGCCTTATTAGGGTGTCCAAAAAGCTGTTCTGGAAGACATGGTGAGGCTTGGGAAGGATTCTGGCCTAAAACCATTTGAACAGGTAAGACTTGCATCCAAGTGTATGAATTCCTACAAAACGGGTTTTTGACTGGAGGATGCTTTTTGTGAATATATTATAGAAGAGGACGAGGTGACGTAAAGACATCTGTGCAGAAGGGATAGTGGAGTGGTTTGGCAGGGGAGGGGATTTTTGTAACCAAGGGTATGAATTCTCTTCCTGGAGGTCAGGCTACAATCCTGATTCTGTACTGACAACAGGCCACTGCCCTTTGTTGAGACAGTACAGCAGGACCTGGCCTGAGAGGTTGGCTTGAGTCGCCCAGAAGGGTCTTTATCCCTTGGGAAGCTTAAGTGCTTTTTAGACTCAGGTGGCCTCCGTGCTGCTTTCCTCCTTTGACTGCCTGGTTTCTTTGCAGGTCAAAGGTATTAGTCTCCACCCTGAATTATTCTCTGTAGACAACGGCCTTCTGACCCCAACGATGAAAGCTAAAAGGCCAGAGCTTCGGAATTATTTCAGGTCACAGATCGATGAACTTTATTCCACCATCAAAATCTAATGCGAGGAAGGAAGCTGGGAAGAGGCCGCATGCCTCCGCGGTCTTCTCCCGCCCATGGCCTCAGTGGGTAGTTTTGACAACAGCAAGTAGGGAAGGAGCGTCTTTGTCTGCCTCGTGCGTTCAGATTCTCGTCACAGGAAGCTTAGAGGGAATGGAACACTGCCTTATGGTCACGTCGCTTTGCAGACCGTGTTCACGGTGATACACAATTTCCAAAATGAGCCTTAAAAAAGTTGTAAAGGGGAAACTAAAATGTGCTAAGTTATTTACGACTTCCTCAGTTTAAAAAGAGGGTGAAAACTTGTCTCCCTTTTTTGCTAACCAAGTGGTTAGGACTTTGCTATTTCTGAGATGTCTGCTACTTGCTGCAAATTCTGCAGGTGTCTGCTGCTCTGAAGAGTACCGTGCACTGGAGGGAACCGTCCCTTATAAACAAGAACGGTCCCAGCTGCAAGAGGTTGCAAGTGGAACCGTCCCTTATATAAACAAGAACGGTCCCAGCCGCAGGAGGTTGCAAGTGGACCAGAGGTTTTTTTTAATCCCTGCCACCGTCCCCTCCCCATCTCACGTGACCCTTCTGATTAACCCCTGTCACTCCTGTTGGAGCAGAGGATGGACCTAACTCAGAACAACGCAGGATGGATGTATGGCCGCTCACCAGAGCGGGTAGATTCTGGCGCCCACAGAGCAGAATACTCGCCGACCCTCTTCTCCAGACCCGATTCCCTCCCTCCATCCCTTCCCAGGGGTTATTTAAAAAATCTGCCTTAGACTCTGCAGTGAAGACAACATTTCAACAAGGAAACAATTACCTGGATCAGCCATGTTCAACTGTGACGCCTGAAGAACTGTCCACTTTATCTTCACTGAACCCGTCGCTCTGTCTGTGATGGTTTTCAATGTGGTTTTCATATCAGAAGGGTACGTTGTGATTAAGTGGCTTTTTTTCCCCAGAATAAACTCTCAGGCAAGGCATGTCTTTAAAAATATTAAGGGAGGGGCTTCCCTGGTGGCGCAGTGGTTGCGAGTCCACCTGCCGATGCAGGGGTCACGGGTTCATGCCCCGGTCCGGGAGGATCCCACATGCCGCGGAGCGGCTGGGCCTGTGAGCCATGGCTGCTGAGCCTGCGCGTCCGGAGCCTGTGCTCCGCAGTGCGAGAGGCCACAGCAGTGAGAGGCCCGCGTACCGAAAAAAAAAAAAAAAAAAATTAAGGGAGTAGATACGCTTGGGTACTTATTGAAATGGATGGTAATTAATAAATGCTCTTCTATCATAATGCTACCTGATTTCTATGAAATGTATTTGAAAAGCCAAAATTCTAAGACATAGGAATCTGGAAAACTCATTTCCTGGGATTAACTTCTCAAGGGATTTTTTTTTTTAAGTTAATTTGGGTAATTAACAGCATTTCACTTTACTGCAAGTCTTTGCCACATGTAACTGAATTTAGTTGTCATTTATATGTTGAAAGCAGTTGTTTGTGGATACGTGACTACCTGTATTATACAAGCACAACAGGGTTTGCCCTAAAGAGTTGTCGTTGTAATAACGCTATTTGGTAGCCTAGCTTCATACGTGCATTCTTAATTGCACAAGAAGTCAATAATTTGTCACAATGGGGTTTTGAATGTTTGCTTTAAGTGTTGGCTATTTCTATGTTTTATAAACCAAAACAGAATTTCCAAAAACAATGAAGGAAACCAAAATAAATATTTCTGCATTTCAAGTGAGTGAAGCCTCCCTTTTTGCGTCAGGTGTCGCGTTCGGCGTGGCCTCTGATGTGCACAAGCGAGGAGCAAGAATGACCTCAGCCTCCCAGTTCTTTCCTCCCTCCCAGGTCTGCTTCCTAGGACGCAGTCATCCCGACACTTCCAGTTGCTGACGCCGGGCCCCGGCCAGCTCCCAGCAACGGCCCTGCTATGTTGCAGAGAAGAAAGTCTTGGTGTGAATAACATGGATATTCTTGAAAGTGCAAATTCTCGGGGGAAAAGCGACAGTGCAGGAGGCATCGCTGCAGTTGGTGGTCCTGGGGTGGATTTCATTCGGCCTCACTGGAGTCATTCTCTCCCTGTGGAACTGTCGGAGAAGGTGTCCCATTGACAGCAGCTGACTGTTTCTTTTCTTCTATCGCTACCCTACGCTGTCATTTTAAAGATTTTCTTTTCCAGAGGTCTTGGTTAATCACCCCCTAAGTTTTTCTGTAGCCTGTTTT